CTAGACACTCGCTCCACCGGCAGACTCCTCCCGGACTCTTCCTTCACCTGACCACGCTCCCCTTCTCGATCATTCCCGTAGCCACCAGTCCCTTTCGTACTCAGCTGACTCCCCTGTCATTACGTCCCGTGACCACTAGTCCCTTCGCACTGTAGGCCCACTCCCCTGTCATTACCTCCCATGGCCACTAATCCTATCCAAGTTCGCGTGGTTTACATGATACAAGCGACCAAGGGGGAGGGAAACCTAAGAACAGACGGTGGGAAACTCGAGGCAGCTCTATGGGGTCTCTGTGTGAGTCTGTGGGTCTCTTTGTGAGCCTATGGGTCTCTGTGTGAGTCTGTGGGTTTCTGACAGGCTATGGGTCTCTGCTATGTATGGCAGGGGTCACCAAAAAGATTTCCAAAATCATGAACAAACACACGATCCAGGTCCGATTTAACACAGTACGTAAAATTCGTGATCTGATCCCATCTGTGAAGGATGTGATCCCTGACATGCAATACCCCGGCGTCTACAAACTAAGCTGTGTCTGCGGCAGTAGCTACATTGGGGAAACTAAGCGATGCGTCTCAGACCGTGTTCGTGAACATAAGGCAAATCTGAAACACGGACCAATACCTCGGCCGTGGCTGATCATTGTTTTAATGCTGTGGGCACACACGAAATAGATTTCTCCAAGACGAAGGTACTTTGCAAACCCACTGGCTAACAACAAAGATTCGTTCATGAAGCCATCCATATTTATAAACATAGACACAATTTCAACTGAGAAGATGTGTACAAACTGAGCACTCATTGGAAGGACGTTATCAACCAGTTTAAATCATAACTGGCTGTAATGTTTACACCCTACCTTCCCGATGTTATTTTCGGCTCTCTGATTTTACATTAACAGGTTAAATTTCTCACACTAACACAGCCACCTTGCGTGCCAACGCGGCAGAGGTTCTGCGATCCTACAATTAACATGCTAATCTCTCACTTTAACATAGCCACCTCCACACCTTTGTGGATGTTGCTCTCCGATATTACATTAACATGCTAATCTCTCACATTAACATCACTAGCCCTGCCCATTTAGTTTGTGACCCTTGGGCTACACCCATTTTAAACCTTTAAAACAGCCTGCCTCAGCAGCTTTTCTCCTGATGACCATCGCTGGTGTTGTGATCAAAACGACGTAGTTTTTTGTTATTTTCTTTCAACCTACCTACGTGACTTTTACCAAAACACCCAAAGAATATGAATTCCTGCAGTCATGAAAGCTTTAAGTCAAGATTGTTTCGTGTTTTTTTAAAGTATGATGATTCTTTCAACGTGAATTGCCTAATGAAAATACCATTTTAAGTTCATATTAGAAACCACTGCAATGCCACGGTATGATGTGTCTCGGGGTGGCTGTGAAGGCGTCCGAGTGAGACATTTCCCTTCAGCCATTGCGATCAGCTTCTAGCATTGTAGCCACGCCGTTTGAGACCCATTCAGGGTGGTGAAAAGCGTGGCTGTGATGAGAGACGATGTCACAACGCGAGGTGGCACTGTGGAAATAAAGCAGGTCACGGTCTACACGCTCTAAGCTTTTGGCAGTGTCAAAGTTGTGTAGTGTGGACTTGAGGGTCATGGGGAAGGCATCTGAGTACTTTGTTATTTTTTGTATTGTTTATATACGCCTCACTGTTGGTAGATAACACAGTTACATCACTTTGACGGGTAGGCCAATAACACGACGAGATTATTAACGAGAACACCATCTTTTCAGAGGTCACTCACAACAGCGCCACCTCGTGGCAATGGCACGAACCGCCACTGCTCAACTCTCTTCCCAATCCATGGATTCTCACTCTCCTGCCCGGTCTACAGACCTATCAACCCCTGACCTGTGCCCACCTTATTACAGACCAATTCAGAACTTATTGGTTGCAAATTTCAACGTTCATCCTACAAAGCACCATCACGAGGGAGACACAAACAAATCAAAAATTGATCATTGTTTTTTTACTCTTTTATCTGGCAACAAAACTGACACTTTTTTTTACAAGGAGTCATGTTTGCATTGACCACAATACCTGCGGTCGGAATGCAAACAAAAAACATAACTCTGATAATGTATGCACTGTCCTTGAAATTGATTGGTCCACACCCGAGACAGCTTTCCTTAGAGCCTAGTCTCACATGGTGTTGGACCAGATGTCAGTTTTGTTGCCAGATAAAATGGTAAAAAACAATTATCATTTTACTACTGGTAAAGGAGGTTCCAATGGTGTAAATGCTTACCCCGAGCTCGCATACTCTGATGGTGCATTGTCTTTGAGTTGTGCGTCTTTTGGCGTCATCTGGTCCAACACCAACGTGAGACTGGGCTCTAAGGAAAGCTGTCTCGGGCGTGGAGAAATCAATTTCAAAGACAGTGCATACATTATCAGAGTTATGTTTTTTGTTTGTATTCCGACCGCATGTATTGTGGTCAATGCAAACATGACTCCTTGTAAAAAAAAGGTGTCAGTTTTGTTGCCAGATAAAAGGGTAAAGAACCAATGATCATGTTTTGCTACTGGCAAAGGAGGTTCCAATGGCGTAAATCAACAATTGTTATTTATTTTTTGCCCGTATTGAAACGGCTGTATGCCGTATGGATCTGAAAATAAATTTCCCTGTACAAGAATAGGGGGTAAACCACATGGGTTGATAGGTATGGTATAGTGTATAGTGTAGTGTTGACAGGTGTGGTATATATTATTGGTTCTTTCGGTAAAGTCAAGTAGAAGGGAAACAATAAAATAATAAAAATATAAAACAATACAATTCTCACGACGTTTCGACTGCAACACAAGCAATCATCATCAGGTGTGAAAACCACAGCAAGAAAATTTGAAAAAAGTGGCAGTTTTTTTAACTTTAGCGCCACGGAGAGAGATTTGGCAGTTATTCAGGTGGACGAGTCCATCTATGTTCGGAAAAGGGGAGGGGGGAGACGAAAATAATGGTTGCGATCTGAAAGCCACTGTAAGCGTGAACAATCAATTAAGACCCGAAATGGTTTATCAAATCCTTCCAATGATTGCTAAGCCAGAATCCATCTTCTCGGTTGAAATTGTCTCTGTTTGTATATGTGGATAGCCTCATGAACGAATCTCTCATGGTAGCCAGATGGCTTACAAAGAACCTCTGTCTTGGAAAAGTCAATGTCATGTGAGCCTACTGAATTATAACAGTGATCTGCCACGGCCGAGGTGTTGGTCCTTCCGTGTTTTAGGTCTGCTTTGTGTTCACGAATGCGGTCCGAGACATGTCGTTTGGTTTCTCCAATGTAACTACTACCACAGAGGCAACTTAGTTTGTTCGGAATCACATCTTTTACAGACGGAACCAGATCACGGATTTTATGTCATGTGTTGAATCGGACCTGGATCTTGTGGTTATTCAAGATTTTGGAGATCTTTTTTGTGATCCCCGCAATGTAGGGTAAAGTGATGGTTTTGAAAGGCTCAAGAGGGTCCTTCTTCATGGTTGGAGTGATAGCTTTGCAGATTGTGTAGTCGGAGTAACCATTAGCCTTAAGAGCTTGGTGTACGTGCTTGAGTTCACTGGCTGTGTGTTCCTGGTCGGATATGCATTGGGCTCTATGGTGCAGAGTCTTGATGAGGGAATTCTTCTGGGATGGATGGTGGATGGTAATCCGGTTTCAGGTAAGCATCCGTATGGGTAGCTTTCCTGTAGACAGTTGTGGCTCATTGAACCATCAGGTCTCTTTTTTATTAGGACATCCAAAAAAGGTAGCTTGCCATCTTTTTCGACTTCCATGGTAAATCTGATGGCTGGGTGTATGGAATTGATGTGGTCGAGGAATTGGTCTAGAGCAGGCTGGCCTTGTGGCCAGATGACAAAACTGTCATCCACGTACCTCTTCCATAAGGTTGGGCGCAGAGTGGCAGTCTGGATGGCGTCAGTCTCAAATTTCTCCGTGAAAATGTTGGCTACAACCGGAGATAGGGGGGAGCCCATTGTGGTGCCCTCAGTTTGTTTGTAGAAAGTTCCATTCCAAGTGAAATATGTATTGGTTAAGCAGTGTCTCACCAGGGGGGGTACCTCAGTGTTTAGTCCTTGATGAACCAAGTCTTCAATGATTGCGATGGTGTCAGGTACAGGAACTTTGGTGAATAAGGAAACTACATCAAAACTGACAAGCAGGTCGTCTGGGGACAGGGAAATACCCTTGATTGTCGATACCAGGTGAGTAGAATTTTGTACCGCAGAGGTGTTTTTTCCAGTGTAAGGCCGCAGGATTTCAGACAACAAACGAGCCAGTTTCTACGTGGGGGAGTTGATAGTAGAGACGATGGGACGAAGGGGTGTATCAAATTTATGTATTTTTGGTAAGCCGTATAATCTTGGTGGCCTGGCAGCAGGTTTCAACGAAAACTGATTGATCAATTAAGAGGTATGGTATATATTATTGGTTCTTTCGGTAAAGTCACATAGAAGGGAAACAATAAAATAATACAAATATAAAAATAAAATTCTCACGATGTTTCGACTGCAACACAAGCAATCATCATCAGGTGTGTACCTCTGCGGATGTGTATACTTTAACTTAGCTATTTCAATGAGCCATTTCAATGCTAAATTATATGCTAATTCCTTTGTCAAGGCGCTTTGTTTCTTCTCACACAGCTTAAAGGTCGCGATCTAAGCGTGGCTTCTTCCACTCCAGCTCTGTCCTCCAGACAGTCTCGTCCCTTCACCTGATGAAGGCCGCTTGTGTTGTGGCCGAAACGTCGTGATTTTTTGTTATTTTATTTTCACCTACGTGACTTTACCCAATAGAACCAAAGAGTAGGTATGGGTCTATCCACGCCCCCCACCCCCCAATCGATACACTCGGCGCTCCGCCTCTCTTCCCTTTTCGCGGCCGAGCGATCGATGCGCCCGCACTGCTCGGCGCTCCACCGCTCTCGCCTGGAATCCCCCCCACCCCCTTCCTCCCTCCCCTCCCTCACCCTCCCACTCCCCTCACCCCCTCCCTCACCAAGATGGCGGAAGTCGGCGGCCCGGGCGGGGACTCGCGCTTGGCGGCGGGGATGGCGGCCCTCGCCGCGTCGCTGCCTTCGCGCGCCGCGGCCGAGGACAACGGCCCCGCGTCGTCGAGCGCCGCGGGCGGCGAGGAGGACGGCCAGGAGTTCGACGAGGAGGAGCTGGACGTGCCGCTCGAGGCGCCGCCTCAGAACCAGTGAGCGCTAACCCCCCCACTCACCACCTCCAACCCAACAACCGTGCCATTGTCGGGCCACCGTCACCGAAGTCGCGGGCGCGGCGATCGCGCATGCGCGTCCGCTCGGCGGTCAACGCAGGCGGGTCGGGGGCCGCGCATGCGCACAGGGGCCGCCCGCGAGGTTTTCGCGCGGCCGCCTACCCGCAATGGTTGAATACGGGAGAGGGGCCCCCTCATCTCCTCAACGTAAATACTTTTTTTTGTTGACGGATTCTACCGAATTAGGTGCGGGCAAACGTCGCCGTCGAGGTGCGAAGCGACGAGTTGCCGAGGCTATCGGTGTCTGTGCGGCGAGAGTGGGGCGTTGAGAGGCCGTTTCCCGCGGGTCGCCGTGCATTCCATCGCATTAGCGCCGCGATGCAATTACGTGGTTGTTGAGGCCGAGCCCAATCATCCTCCGCCTCCTCGCGGTCGATAAACGAGGAGTACCGCTTTGTTAGGACGCCAGCAACGCGTGGCGTGGTCCTTTTCCCACAGGCTTCGCCGCCCATGCGAATGAGGAATTTCCACCGATGGCCCATAGAAGTACAGTACAACAATTGATGGCGTTGCATTCGACGATGCCCTTACACGCACGCATCGCATGCGCGCTTGGTGGCCTCAATAAAATCCAGGTGGTTTGAAGTGGAGGTCGCATTGTGATTCGCCGTGTGTGTGTGTGTCAATTAACATCCCCGGGACACCCATCGCAAACGAGATGTTCCATCTCCAATGATTTCCCAGGTTAAATATGTTAACGAATGAATCACACTCATTGAGATGTGATTTTTGTTGTTGTAACGTTTGTGAAGAGCAAAACTGGGCCTTCGTTAAAACAAGAGAAGCAGCCCTAAACTCCTAGGGTTCGGAAACACGGTCCTCAATTAACAAACACAAAAAAACAGGGAACAAAAACTGCAAAGTATCCAAAGCACGGAGCGATGCAGGTCCTTGGCATTACGTTGAGAGACAGAAAGAGGAACACGTGGATTCTAGAACACATTGACGGCTCGTTGTGTTTTCGAAGAGGGGATTGTGGGGGGCAGAGGGACGCGTCGTCGCTCGAAGGGACCGATGATGGCCCACGGTGAAGAACAATAACGGAGCGGCAGCCGGGGAAATGGTGAACGCGTCTGGAAGGATATCCAGAGAAGAGATTGGAGCGATGATATTCGCTCGTGCCCAGGTGACTGGGTCGGATTATTACCGCCGATCAGCACGGTTGGCTGCGTACGGTGCGAAAGAAGTTCAAAACACGGCGCATGAATTACTTCGCCGGACCGTCAGTTGGTATCGGCATTTATCCGGCAGTGGCGCGACCAGAGCTGATGGTGATGAAGACAATTCCTCGTTTGAATAGATTCTGGCCGTTCAGATGATGGCGATGGTGAGACGCCCCTCTGGAGAAGTAAAACACAGAGACCTTTAAACCAGGTGAGAGTCTAATGGAGAATATCAAGTTATTTAAAAAAAAAATTCCCACGGGAAACCTGGGTCTCAAACAGGTTGATTCTAAATTAAGGGCCATCCATTTCGGGGCCATCCATTTAGTACGTACGCATGGAGATTGGAAGGGGGTTAACCCAAATGCGTTCGCTTGCATATGGGGGGGTCTACTGACAGTGTACGCATAGGAAACGGGGTGGGGGGGGGGGGGTGAAGCCTCGATAATAATTGTCTACATTGGCCTTCAAATGAGTTAGATAGTCCGGTGGTGGACTATCTGTTTGCTTAAACACGTTAATATTATTAATCCTTGATCGTTTCTGCGTGGATTAAATACCGTCCGTTATAACATAGGATTCGGGGGGGGGGCTGTAAAAAATCCACGTGCGTACAGGGAGGGGGGAGGGGTCAAGTTTTGACAGATTTTTGCCTGCGTACTAAATGGGTGGCAACTAAGAGCGTTGAACACAAGTAAAACAATGCAAACACAACGTTCTAAGCTAATAGATGTAATACATTAAGCATTAAATAACAGTTAAATGGAGGCATGACTAACATAGCCATATGCAGCCTATAAGACCTGCAAACTTAGGTTAGGCTACGTGGTTGTGCAGCAGAGGGCAGTGCAGCCATATCTATTGATTTGTACTGTAGGTCTATGCTCCCATCGTCTTGGGGTGCGCCCCTTCATCAATCCGCAAAGACTACAGTGGTGGAGTGTGGTCACGTAGCCCCCCCCCCCATTACCCGCACGGCGCGGGGAGGCCCTAGTCCAGCAGTGGATCAACACAACACGACTCAAACAAAACTTGCATTCGTATCGTTAGAGCAGGCCAACAGTTTGCAGGCCTTGCTTTGGTAAATTCAGATGCGGCTGGAAAAGGAGCGTTGTGAGGAAACGCCATGACCCCGGTGCGTTTGTTGATCTTCTCAAATGATTTGTATTGCTTGTCTCATTGGACGGTCGTGCAGCGGTTAACGCGTTGCGCCATGTACCCGGCGACCCGGGTTCGATTTCCGCTCTCGGCCAACGCCAGTGACAATTATCTGCACCGGTTCAGGGCCTACCCTAGGTCGGCTCAGCTGGCGTGATGTATTAATGTCGCCACTGGGGAGACAAAGGCGGCCGGGCGTGGTACTGGTTACCCACCTATTCGTGTGCTGTGCCAGCCTTCATAGCAACTTGCCCCAACATGTCTGTTACAGGCTATACGGGGGACATGTCTTTGCCAGTGGACTACACGGCCAGGTGTAAACGGCGATGGCACCGTTAGTTTGCAAGATGCGGTCACTGCAGTGTTTCGGGTTTATTTTGTTGAAGCAGATGAGAACTCACACGAGAATAGAGTCTGATTTGCAGGCGGGACCTGGGTCACCAAAATGACAAGGAGTAACGTAAAATATGTTTTACTGACAAGTAGCGTGTTTCAGTCCACATGGAAAATTATAAAGTCAGGCAATGTGATGGATTCCATATTGCTATAGTAGGGGGGGGAGCTTTATGATGACATCACTCATCAGATCATGGAAGCTAAGCAGGTTTGAGCCTGGATGGTGCTTGGATGTGCAAACCCCGTGCACAGTAGGTGCTTCTAGGGTGCGGGGCTATGTCATGGGCCACAGAGGGCAGTGCAGCAAATTCCATTTTTGTACTGTACACTACCGCGTCTATGCTCCCCGATCACGGCGGTGAGGTATGGTAAAATAAACCCCACGACCTTCATGGCGTGGGGAGGCCTTCTTCCAGCAGGTGATTGACAAAAAGAGCCGTGCGTGTGCCGTGTGGTATTTGCCTCCGCAGCACGACCACTGTCGCCTTCTGCAAAGTGATACACATTTCATTTGCACGAGAAATATGATGATGATTATTGTTACAATAGCGCCACACTAAGTAAACAGTGGCGAACGGAGTAATGAGTGGTACAATACGATATATGAGGGCAGCATAGGCATAGACACCGGTTTCTTTCGTCTCACATCCCACTGGCTCACACGTGGACATGGGCACCAGCTCGCCAGATCGCCTGGGACCGACTTAACTGGGTGTGTAGCAATGGGCGTCTTGGCATGCTAATGCATGCATGTACATTGAAATTATTTCGTACCGTATGTGGCCAACCACGCTAATCGGAGGTGTGGGGAACGGGCAACAAAAAATAGTGTTAAAGGAATGAGTTTTCAATATAGATTTAAAAGTGCAAAGCTCCAATGGTTTCTTAACATCGGAAGGAAGAGCATTTCAGACAGCCGCAGAAGCGCACCATCTTGGTTTGTGTGCCTACACGCGACTGGAGCTGCCCAGCAGACAGCTTCCTACATTTTTGAGGACTGTCCCTCGTGATGGCTAGAAGGTGGATGAAGAAGCCCGAGCGAACGGGATGAAGTGACGATGATCCAGTGGTTGAGTGGCTTTGACATCGACCTTTAATGGCAAACTCTCGAAGATGAACATCCCATTGCTTTGGCAACAGCCTCCCCCCCCCAATGTCTCCCACTCTTTATGATCACCTGCCACCTCCACCCAATGCTGTTCTCCAAATCTTCTAATCTCCATCCACCTCCTCTGTTCTGAAGCAAAACGAAGAGGACAATAGTTCACAGACTGAGAAATAACGTATTAGTAATATCAAGGAAATATATACGTGAAATTAAAGCCGAGTTTGGTGGGCGGCAAGAGCTGGGAGTAACAGCAGTGTGTGTAATGCAATGATTGCCTTGCTACAGCACAGCTAAATCTGCAGTGTGCCACTGTTATACAAAGGCGCAGAGGTGTCGGTTCGTTTCTCTGCGCAAAGACCCAGTCGATTTCCACTCGTTGACTTGCGTCCACCGCTGGTGCTGATCATTAATTTCAGCCTAATTGGTGCTCATCAAGCAGAGGGTTGAGGGTGGGTGCCTGTGCAATGAGAAAATGGTTTTGAATATTTATTTACATAAAGATGCATTCTATTTTGCATCTCAACACTTCCATAAAGTGCAATTTTGAATACATTACGATGCATTGCAGGTTTGCAAAGATTCATATCAGTTGCAGAGCGGTACATAGCATTGCATCAGCATTGAAATCGCTTCATGACGATTATTATTTCATTTGTTATTCAGTGGGCGATGTCTTTTCTGCCCATGATTAGTGACTGCATGTCTGTTGAACCCATCAATGCATTAATAATAATTAGTACATTTGGTATTCGCTCAATCATTCCTACAGTGCAGTGCTGTCACGTAAATATGCACTATGCTTCAGAGACAGGTCTGCAGTAGTTTCACAGGAGTAGGAAATCTTGCTCTGTGCGTGTAATCCCAATTGAGTAATTTGCGGTGTAATTTTTCAAACATGGCAAATTTGGCCGTGACACTGGCACACAATGGCCTGCCGTTCTTTGAATAACGTCACCGAATCTTTAACGCCCATTGTGCGGCAGACCGCACGTCTAAGTGTTTTTCGGTTGGTGCACCACCGCGCTAATAACCTGGGCCGGCCTACCGGGTTCGAACCGTGGACCTCGGCAACGAGCGGCGATCGCCCTCCCCGC